AAATGACATTAAGTGTAGAAACATGTAGTAAAATCAGAATAGATCTCCAAATCCTATAAGAAAACTCTAAATCATAAAAATAAATCATACTAACAACCATACTGCCTCTTACAGGCAAAACTACTAACAAGAAAACAAGCAATGGCATGAAAGGCAAATCAGTGGAATCAAAATATTTCTTTGGTAATGAAAGAATGACAAGAACTAGAATTTAATAAAATATGATAGGGAGATACAAAAATATAAAATGTAGCTATCACAACATTTGCAGACTCACCCAAGGCCTCTTGCTGCGTTTGATTGTAAACTTATGGATGTAATGGAGCCAACACCCCTCAAACATCCAAAATATTGATCTACTGATGATGCAGAAACCTCAATATGTGATCGAGATGATACTGTCTTTTGCCTACCCATTGTCGGCTATCTAGAGAGTTCATATCTCCAATCAAAATGTCTATCAGATCCACCATATGGGCACTCGACAATCCTGTGTTTGTACTGACCACGACAAAAACATGAGCCTAATACTCTGTAGAACTGATCGTTGTGCCTTTTACCATAATTTTAGCATAGTGGTGCCCCACTAAATTAACATCTAGACCTGCCAACACTACCTCTATCAGATCCAGAAGGAATTGATACAAAATGTCCCTTCCTTTTAAACGAAGCTGATTCAAAACTGCTCATCTTCCCAGAATGGCCACTACTAGATGCCTCACCGCCAAACATTTTCCTACTTGTAATCCATTGTTATTGAACTACTATTAAATCAGCCTCTATTCTCTTGACCATCTAGGCCAACTGAGCAAAATCTGTAATGTATTATTTTAGTAATGGTTGTCTTAAAGTATCCCAGACTCCTTTTTGAGATCTATAATAGCTCTCCTCATAAGTATCAATATAATCAACTATGGAGCATACATAGTCAAAGCAATAAATTATGCCACATATTACATTATTAACATACACCCCTGAACCAATCTTTGAAAAGAATTGTGTAGTTCCCTCCTACTTGACAGAGGTACAAACTAGGTCCTAAATGTCTCTATAAACTCCTCCCAAGATTAGGGCGTTCGTACGACCTGAAATTTCTCTTTTTGCTTTCCCAGCTGCTAGTGCTTCACCTAACCGCCCAACAGAAAAGTAGCTTATGCAACTCTCATCTCTGGAGGATAATGCATCCCATCTAGACTCTTCTATATTCTCATAAGTTAATTCTCAAATCTCCTAGGCTCAATGACACCTAAAAGTTTGGGAGATTGTAATCACATAAAATTTTGCATGTACCTGTCTATGTCATCATGCCGAGTATCAAAAATATGCATGTGAGTCTCACTTACTACTTATGCTACCAAACCTGCAATTCGGGAAGCTATCTCAGAATTTATCACAAGAGTCATACCTTAAATTTGAGTTGCCTGACTGGAGCTCTGACAATTAATCTTATCTAGATTTGGTCGATCTATCTATCTCAAAGGCACTTAACAAAATTATATGCGATACATGTATATGAAAAAGAAACAAAATGAATATCATATACTACCTAGAACTATCTCATTATTCTACATATTAAATCCTATAGCTCCATTACAATTCATTCCTCCAATTAATGCTCGTATATCAATAACTTATAATGACCTGACCCGATATAACTTAACCAAACCATACGGTCATATCATGTCTGATCATGGCAAGATGTAGAAACTAAACTAAAATATCCCAAGTTGTATACAATACAGAGCCATTACTGACTATAAATATAAAGCGGATAACTACTGAATCTCATAAATAATTTATTTATATGTCATCCAAAATATATGTATAATCTTAGATCTATTTATAACACCGCTTAATAATAGAAAAGTACAATAAAAATAAAAGCCAAGCCAATAAAAATAAAAGTAACCAAAATGCATACCTAGCTACAATATAGATCAATGCCATATATCAAAGCTCTCAGCTCGCTTCTTATCCTTTCTCTGACCTGAAAATGAAAGCAAAAATATGAGCGAGCTAACACAACTCAGAAGGATATAATAATGTGAAATAAGAATCAATAATTCAAACAAAAAGAGTTGAAAATGCGGAAATAGTAATAAAAGTATTGTATAGAAAGCTAAAATTGAAGTAGACTCTAATACTTAATTGAAATAAGCATTTAAATAAACTATTGAAATTATACTTAAATACAAACAAACACCGCACAATAAATATCAAACTGGCTCTTAGTCCCCAACTTTCAGTATATAACAAAAAATAGAACTTATTCTCTTTGCAAACAAATCCCTTCTTAGTAAATATTAAAATAGCCCTTAAGCTCCAGAATTTTCAATACATAACAACCAACAGAATCCCTTATCATCACCAAGATAATCCCTTCTCATCGCCAACGTAATCCCTTCTAGCCACCAACGAAAGTTCTTTCACACAATTCATACTTTGAACATATATACTAAAAAATAAAGTACATCGTACATGAATGAAGTGATTACAGTGTTATTGTATAATTCTACAAAATATTCTAATAGCTGCCAAAATAATTTCCCACTCGGTGACGTTCTACAGTTCTCCAAACCTATAGTTTTCAGAATTCTTCCACATTACTAGAGATTGTGTAAACAATATAATGAAGCTTTAACTAAACCGAATCACTATTTTTATATGCAAAATAAAATTTTGAATTTATAAAAATTGCTGCTTTTCAAAATAACTTGGCGAAAAATCTTGAATAAATACTCAAAACAATCAAAATAATCACAACGAACACTATCAAAAGTTTCACAAATGAATATGGCTAGAATTTGAGAAAACAACTTTTTTGTTTATAAAATTGATAAAAAAACTCAAAAACTCTAAATTATTAAAGACTTAGATAGACAAAATATAACCTATTTCAATCCGAGCAAATTTTTGAACTGGGTCATCAGCTAAAAATGTTCCAAAGCCACCCGAAATAAACATTTTATCTTAAAATCTCTCTTGTTCTCCCCTAGCGTCAACGACTCAAGTGAAATGAATGAAATAGAATAATGAAACATATATTTTAAATATAAAAATTGGTCTAGCGTCGTGGTGCCACACAACACAATACATGGCTTATAAAATAGACTTTTAGGATCCACGGCACCGCCATGTCCGTTGTGCACTAAAGCGCATAATTAAATTACCAAAAACTCGAGAGCATAGTTACCGAAGCGCTACCGAATCCAGCATCACCGTGCTCTTTGGGGAATTTAAAAAATTTCAAACATACAAATAGACTCCAAAGACCCACTTTAGCACACATGTAGACTCTCATATGCACACAAATTATACTTTCAAACAAATAAGAGGGGGTTCAAAAGTAGAAGTTTACCAGGTTACCTCAACTTAGGTCAGATCATAATAGGTAGAACTGTATAATAAATATGGAGGTGCCACATAAATGATCCAATCTAGGTCGACTCAACCTTTTCTACTGTACTTGTGTAGATCCTTGCAGTATGGTTGTTGGACCATCCTCTTACGTTGATCAAATAAACTCTCATGGCTTCTTCAGCTATCCTTCACAATAGGATATACCATCATGGTTCAGTAAAGTATGTTCCATCCATCATGTAGTTTATAAGCAAGACAAACATTGAGCAGTCTAACATAGCTACTGAGGAGCTACATGAGTTACAAAGTATACCATTTTCGCCACCATAACATTACATGCATGGCATTGATGTCATACTGCCATAGAGGAGGCGTTAGTTTATTTTATATTAAACTTGATAGCATGTGCCTTTATCGAGATATTCTTTATTTATTGTATCATGTATCATGCACTTATCCTTACTATAGTGCTATGAGTTCTTACCACTATTTTGAAAATCGGACCGGACCGGACCGGCCGGTTCAATCGTGAATCGGTCTGGTGGCTGGTCAGATCAAGCTTCAGAATCGGATCTGTATCGAACCGAATCTAGCCAGATTGAACCGGCGGTTCAACAGGTAAATTTTTCAGTTAATTCCCATAATAATATTACAAATTATAGTTATTTTTTAATGTTGCATTTTAATGCGCTTACACTAACTAATTATACATTTATTTGGTTTAATCATTCACAATAATTAAGCTAACTTATATATATATATATATATATATATATTATTTAATATGTATATATATTTTTAATCAATTTAATTTGATTTGATAATACTGCTAAACCGCTCAAACAGCTTCACTTTCATTATCAAAGGAAGTAATCTAATATGTTTATCAGTTAAAGTTAAGTTTTAATCATTAATGCAGATTTAAAAAAAAAATCATATTTTTTTATGCAAGTCACTCATTAAGAGCATCTCCAACCGAACGCCAAACGTGCGTATGACGTCGTTCATTCGCTCCAGCCGAACGTCAAATCTTCCGTCATTTACTTGCGGGTGAACATTGCGACGTCAATATTGGCGTTGCACTGTTCACCCACGCTATTTTGCTCTCTCAACCAGATTTGGTGAAAAAACGTGCGAAAGGGGAGAAGGATCGTTACCTTCGCAGAAGCATCTAAAATGGAGTTCGATTGGAGCAGATTCACGACATTTTGGAGTTTTGCTGTATTTTGCCGTGAAAAATTGGGTTCTCGGTTGGAGATGCCCTAAAAGTCACCTCTTGAACGTGCAACTTTGATTAGTTTTAATTTTTTTTAAAAAAGATGAATTAAATAAATTATTATTTAAGAGTACCTACTATCTATTTCAAACTTTTCCCCGGTTCAAAATGAATTTCAGGTCATATATGTATATATATAAAACATTGAACACGTTATCTTAAAAAGTCCTACCTACGTGGAAAGGCATCATTGGCCACAGGAGAATGATTTTGGGGAGAACTAAATGAGATTTTTTTATTTAATAAGCAAACTAACTAATCCTGGACATAATTAATCACGCAAACAGTTTTTGTTCTAAACTCACTCATTAAAAGTGTACCTCAATTGACCCTTATCCTTCTGAACGCCGACACCGCGTTGGTCCTGAAGGTTCTTTTCTGAGGTCTACTTTTCGGTCTGATTGGTTCGTTTTTTCAATCCCGAGCTTCGATGATCGGCGGAAAGCAAACCAGTCCAACATTTCTACGAAAAGTATGAAGAGCACGACGGCGAAGACAAGAGAAGGGGAAGACTTGCTTGGAACACTTGGTCATTCTTCTTCTCTTTCAAAATCTGATCAGCTAGAACAAGGGAATATGCGATCTGTTGTTCTCTGGCACCTGCTAACTTTTCCCCTCTGATCCCGGTGCCTGGAAGCGGCCGGCGTTTTTGGTTTTTTCCCTCTTTGTAGGGAAGACGAGGGTCATTGGAAGACAAGGGTTTTTTTTTTTGGCGATTCTTGTTTGAATCTATCGTCTCCGGAGGTGGGTTTTCAGCTTCTGATTTTGGATTCGTGCGGGTTGAGGTAAATTTTTATTTGAATAAGCTCACATCCAAGTCTGCTTTTCCTTTCATCTTTTCGTGTTACAGTACAATGCCGCTTTGTATCTGTACTCATGTGCGTGATCTGCTTGTTGCCAGAGTGGGAAAGTTGGCTTTTATCGTTCTATTGGTTTTATTATTGGGTTGTGCATTATTACTTTTAGGCTTAGTTTTTGGTAGGTCATTAAAGCATTGTAAGAGATCCCGTTGGTGCAGTTGCTTAAATTCTTTTGTTTTATATTGTGTATGAAAGTTTTCTTTTTCAGCTGAAGGGTTTTGATTTGCTTAGCATGGGGGAAAGACTACATATCCTTTGTGTTGGATCCAACGTTATTTGTGGAAAGATACCAAGACCTCAAAAGGAGAATTGGGAATTCTTTTAAGTGAGTTGTTTGGACTATTTTACAGAGTACCCCTTAGACAAAGATGGGTGAGTCATACAGAACTATGAGATAGTTTTAGATGATTGTGTTTAATAGAATCTTAGAGATGTTTTATTCAGAGGTTGCTCTCGCCAAAAGTATAGAATTGCGGCCTAGATTTCATGTCATAGTTCTTATATGGCCGCACATAATTTTTTTACCACCAATTTATAGGCAAGGGCCATGACTGGTATTTCATAATTGGCTGCATGAAAAAAGAAAATTATTATCAGCTTTGTTTAGCTAGTTGTGTAGCAAATAAATCTAGCTTGTAGGTGTCTACTATGTGGGAACTTTGTGCGAGTGCTCTTGGCAAGTCATCCTAGTGAGAACCCCTAATTGATAGATGAGTTCTACGGAATAATAGCTGAGTTTTTCAAGCAAATAGCATCGCTCAACCTTGCTAGACCTTTAGGCGAGTTTATAGGTCTATATTGTGGATTGAGCAAGATTTAGTTCATGGGCGGTTTATGACTTTCGACTTTTGGCTGCTCAAGGCTTTTGGTGACTTCAGTTTGAAGAGTATCATGCTAAGGACAGTTTGAATTGGTTTAAAATCCATGACTTGTTGAATTTGATTCAATCACTTATCATGATTTTATAAATGAGACACAAATGAATATAATTGTAAATTAGTTCCCTAATTATCTCGTCTCTTGTGAGAAGTTAGAAGATCAATTACATGAAATTTTTTTAGAAATTATCTCGGTCATTGTCACCTTCAACTATCAAGGGCAAGGAGAAATCACATCTAGGACGACCCATTGCAACCGTATGGGGGCACAATTGTTCTTCAACATTCAGTTCTACTTTGTATACACATAGGCTAGTGAAACTGAGGGGGGAGGATCTTTTCTTTTGAGGTTTCTTTAGATGAAATAGATAGGTGTGGGCATTCCCATTCTGCTAGTGATGTGAGCATAGTAGGAAGAATTTGCCTAAGAAAAAAAATGAAGGTCATTCTTCTCTTCCCACAAGTCTTTTGCAAGCTTGGGAGAGGTCAAATTTTTCTTCCTCTCGATGGCAGGTCTCCATTCTTCGAAACTGTTCGAAGCATGGGGGAAAAAGAAAACAATAGTTATCTAGTGTGTTGATTTTGAGTTAAGGAGCTATTCTTACTCTTCTACACTCTTTTCTCTTACTAATAGAAACCCTAGCCTCTTCTCTACTTATGGTAACTTCCAAATATTAGAAGAGACTAAAGTTGTGAGTGTTGTAGTAGTATTCAACCTTCAGAAATCTTGACAAGGCAGTAGCTAGGCAATATTTCAACAAAGTTTTGTCTCTACAAGATGAACCTTCTACGTTCGGATGGAAACCATGAGATAATGGCTCTTGTGAGGTACTCTTTCAAGCTTATTGAGACTTGTTTATCACCCTTTATGGTTGTGTATGCATGTAATCTGATACCTAATACACACTAAATATGCATTCCATTATTTCTTCCCTAACATTACTCTCCCCTAATGAATCTAAATTTAAAGAAAAAAAAAAAAAAACATTTTGGGTCTAGTTTTGAAGGTGGCCCAATTTGAATGAGTGATGATGTGGCATGAGTTTTTTGATAGGTTTTTTTGGGGGTATACTATATTTTAGGGGCTAATTGTTTTGATGTATTAGTGATGTAAAATGAAAATAATATATGGATATTTAGTTTTCAAATGCTTGAGTTGAAGTAAAATAAACTCAAAGTATTTTTATAAGGAATTTAGAATTCTCTAAGGGCTCATTTTTTATAAATTTGGAATTCACCTGAATTGGATGAATTCCAAATTTACCTTTTATGTCCTTGTCTTTCATGAAGTCGTGATGACCTTGCAACCTTATTTATAATCTCTATGTTTGTTGACTACGTAGCCCTATCGTCAACGTCCTTGTGTCTGCTGCCCTCACATCCACCTTTATTATAATCCATGGATCCAGGATTCTGACAATGCCCCATGATCTCGTGACACCACGACATCCTTGTGTCGCCATTGATCCCACCTACTAGTTCCCTAGTTTCATTTAAAAAATAGTTTAAAAAAGTAAGGCATTATTATATATTTCAAAGAGTATATTAACATAAAAATTTAGATTCATTTTATAGTCAATCAACACAATAAATTGATTTTTTTTGATTCATTTGGCAACCAATCAAACAAGCTTCAGTATTCCAAACGCACATGTTTAATTGCAACGCATTCTAAAAATGCCTGAATCATAAATGCTTTCAACCAAACATCCACTTAAACAAACGAAACGAGTCTCTCCCATTAATTGAAGTTTCATACCCTTGAAATAATCAATTTAGAGTAAAAAAATGCAAATTGTTTTCTGAAAATTTCGTGATCTATATTTTCTGCATGATAATATTGGATCATGTGTGAAAGGCTGAATTAGAACATGGATGGAAAATATTAGCTTTTTTTTATATGCAATCAATGAGGTTAAATGTTACTCTTTCAAGATGGAGACTATGGGTGAAATGTAATAGATATTATTTTATTAGGCAGAAGTCAAAGAAATTAAGAAAGCTGGTCATTAAGGTTCTGCATTTGGTGTATTTGTTGTGATAAAATTTCTTAAAATATTTTTTTCTTTTTTGAACTACAAGGATAAAATGAATTTAAATCACAGCGTTGTTCTGTTTCTCGGATTACATTATTCGATGCATGTAATTCTTGTATCATCTACCTCATTTAACAGGGTTTTTATAGGTACATCAGTCATTTTAAAAATTTAATTTCATTTGTGATTGTACCCAAAAATGATACTTTAAATGCATAGTTTTGGCTTTGCGGTGCATAACTTATATCTTTTATAATTTTGTAGGTACTTGAGAAACTTCATGAGTCAGTGCTTGGTCTTATAACTGTAGAAAAACACTATTGATGGATGAAGAGCAGTCACAATTGATTTAGAAGATGATTATTAAAGCAATGTCGTTCAGTAGTCCAAGTCTTGAATAGATTGCCTTCAATATTTTCATAAGAGCTCTTTGACATCCGTGATCCATGGGACAGTGGGTTATTGGAGCAATAATCAACGTAGTTGGGAGCATTGCAATAAATTTTGGGACAAACCTTCTTAAATTGGGGCATGATCAGGTATTTCTTTGTGCTGTTTTGCTTAACTAGTTCAAATAATTTCCATTTAGCTTATGGGTTAGTTGATCCTTTTAAAAAGCATTGCAGGGTAGAAATCTCACTTCATGTAATTTTCATTATTTCCCAATTACCATAGTCCATATTAAGGTGAAGTAACCATTAAAGCAGGTCTAGTTTAAAGTAAATGCATTCCACTAAACCCTTAAAGTCATTCTGCGCAAATATCTTTCATATTAACTTTTGGGCCTACCTTACAGCATCTTAGTCTATTATGCAAGATCGTTGTCACCAATAGAAATTCTTGACCACCTGAAACACGTAAACATGTCCTTGTCAAAGCTCCTGTCCTATGCATTCTATGTCACTAAGAAAATTTTTGGAATTCATAAATTATTTTAATTGCTTGAAAAGAGAAAAAATAAATACCAAAGGAAATATCGCGTAGGAGATGTGATTCAAAATATTTTAAGGTTTAGAGTATCTCGGATGAGATGCACGTAATCATGCACCAAAAGCCAAATTTGCAGTCTTCAGACTTCTGATTTAGACAGGAGTTACTCTCTTTCTATGAAAATTAGAAACTACACAAAATTATTCCAAACAATAATTTAATGATCTCCCAAATAAAAATTTAGGAGGAATGAAATCACACTTCAATTAAAATTGACAGCAATAAAAAAATACAGACTAAAAGCTCAAAATAGACTATTAATAAATACTCAATTTCATCCCAGATTTTTATAATGACCCAATATAGCTCACCTATTATTAGAATAATCTCGATTTGATTCCAATGTTAAAAGTAATAGTTAAAGTTAACCCAATAGTTAAATATGTGGTCATTTTGGATATTAGGGTATATGCGATAACATATTATTTTTTAATATATTTTATCATTTATCATATTAAAATAATATAAAAATCATAATGGAAGTTAACCAACTAAATAATAATAGTGAATAAGTAATAAATGTGGTTAATTTCCATTATCACATTTGTATTTTTTTTAATATGATAAATGATCAAATATATTAAAAAAATAGTTTAATATCTCTTACATCCTAATACTCAAAATGCCCTCACTGTTGGGGTTAACTTTAACTATTACATTTTGCATTGGGATAAATTAAAATATTTTCTAGTAGTCGGAGAGCTGGGATTAAATTGGAAATTTACTAATAGTTGGAGGACTATTTTTGGCTTTTACTCAAACAAATCAGATTGTATAAGAATTGAAACTAACAAATCATATAAGCAATCAATCACTAATATATTATAGAATAAAAATAGAGAAAATGAAAGAATTCACCAAATATTTATTGAAATTTAAGGCTATTATAACTAGATAGTTTCTCCCTAAAAATTGATAGTCACCACTAACATAGGGCCAGAACGATGTTGTATGCTCGTACATGTCTTTCTAGGTGTCTCACATGTGCTTAATAAGTCCAATAGGAGAACCTGGACCTAGAGGACCCTAGAAATGAAGCATTGGCCAAGAATGGTCTCTCTCTCTCTCTCTCTCTCTCTCTCTCCAAAGTATCAGTCGACAGAGGACCCTATTCCCACTCAGCTAAGCAACCTGAGAAAGTCATCCTCAATAGACTTTCCAGGGATTTATGCAGGTTCATCCAGGCTTTGCGTAATTTACCTCATCTTGATCATCCTCTGTTGACCTCACTTTCATCGTGCTCGAATTTGACCATTGCACACATACTTTGGTTGACTCTGAATTTTCTAGTTAGATTATTGTGTTACCCACACGCCAGTTAATTTGAAATCAGGCTTCCTGATTGACTTTGAGTTTTTCATTACTCCTTTGATGTCTTATCTACCATATTGAGGAAATATTTAGGCTTACTTGATCCCTTATGATCGAGCTGTAAGTCTCATTCCTTGAACATCTCCTCTATCATATTGAGAAGATATTCATGCTTACTATATCCCACAAGTTCGAGCTATAAATCTCAATTCTTGGATGTCTTCTCTATCACATTGAGAAGATGTTCATTTTTTTTTTACATTTGTCATATATTCTCTACCACATTGAGAATGTATTCAGGCATTCTCAATTCCACATGATCAAGTTATAAATCCCATCTTCGGTATTATCCTACACCATATAGAGAAGATACCTTCACTTCCTATCCATCAGCCTTAGAGCCTAGATTTCCTTGTTAGTCTTGGTAGGTATCACCGTACAGTACACTAAATCCAGCATTTTTCCTTCGTATGGTGGTCGAGTGTATTTCCATCCATCATCCTAGGATTAGGACCACACCCTTGGTCTATAAGGTTTCCTTGGATGAGGTAACTTATGATTGATAGTAAGGATCCCAAGGTCATCACATGAATTAGTATACTAAGGGCATTGATGAATCCAGAACGATAGAATTAGATTAGTCATACCCATGTAGTAGATTAATCTCAATTTCTTACCATTTGCTCATTATGACTTTCCAACTTATCAAACTTATATCCAACATACCTACTTTGTATATAAGCATTAAATTTTTAATCGAGAGTATTTGCATACACATCCGGGATATAATTAACTTTAAGAGCTTACTCATTTGAAAAGCTTCGGTCCCCATAATTAAATTAAACTTTATTTGGAGCAATAGTCCTTACAGGAAAAATATACACACTTATGTAATCGACCTTCCATTAATCCTCACAGACATATATAGTGCATTGATTAACTACGGTCAGTTTTCTAATATAACGCTACAGATGCCTTTAAAAGCCTACACTCCACGTTAAAACTTGCTAACACAAGAGCCAAATAAGCCGTCAATAGCACCCTTTGGTCCATTCATAGGGAAGGTTAGCCCCTAGGAAGACACAAATATGCTTCCTCATACTTGACCAATTGTAAGTTTGCAATTGCTACAACTCATGTGGAATTGTTTTGCATATTTGAATGGCCCAAGAATCACATATAGGAGATCACCAATGCGAGCAAAGGATTCTTTGCCATAAACTTGTCCAGCTTGATCCATCCCGAGGGCTCACCTTCATCGATTCGCCCATATAAAGTTATAAACTTAGTGAAGGGAACTCGACCTTAAGGGGAACCTCACAAATCGCCTTCCAAATTGCAATACGTGCCCTGAGTTGTCTGCATTATGTCACATTTATTATACATTTAGCTTTTTTACCCATATCTCTATAAATAAAGGGTGAAAATGTGTATATTGGATCTTTTTGATGCCCTACTAAGCTAGTATTTTTTTTAATGATATTTCTTTAGCATTCCTTCTAGATTTCCTGAATCTTCTTCTTTTCTCTCTATAATCACCCTCAACTCTCAGATTCCTGCCTATTGGATTGCTCGCTAGTATGATCAGGTATCATCCATAGGCAAATTTGGATCCAACATCTTCAAAAGTGCAGTGAGTGAGAATTGTACCAGTGACCAGAAGAAAGGCACAACTTGTCGAATAGCTTACATGGATGCCCCTAACTATACCACTTGTGATGATCTCATGGAGATGGGGTTACTGAGGCACGTGTCAATGATGAAGAGTACAGCACTCCTCAGCGAGCGAGGATAGCAATGCCCAAGTTGACATAGGCTGGTGAAGCTTGGTAGGTGTGAGCATGACTAGGCGGTCAAGCTAGGATGTGTCATCAATGGGTGGAGAGTCGGGCAGTGATGGTAGTGTTCAGGATTTGATGCGAGTGAAGACGGTGGCCTAGATGGCACAACAGTGTGCAAAGGCAAGAGGAAGGATGTACCCATTTTCACCTCTCGTGACAATCGTGGGACATAATAAAAGCGGACAATTTGAAAAAACTTAATTTTGACAACACCTATAATGATTGACTCCTCATGATAGAGCGAGTGAAACTAGTCAGGCTTGATTGTCCCAAAACATTCCTGGAATTTAATAATTATCTATTACATCCATCATATACATTAAAAGAGGAGCATACATGATTAAAATCATCAAGTTAACTACACATTTTCTAATACAACTTTCAAAACATCTGAACATATATAGTTAGGTAAAGAAAATGCAGTATTGGTAGATTGGGCTAACCAACTCTCTAACATCAAAAGCTAGAAATTTCTTTCTCATGTATCTTTTCCTAGTAATAGTTGTGCCAATTAACTCACCAACATCAATAATCATCTCTTCATGCGTAGGTCATTAAAGTCGGTCCATCTAACTCATATTTCTTTCATAAGATTCTTGATTTTCATTCTCATTTTTTGGAATAAACTTTTATTCATCACTTCATGTTGATGCACATACTATATAAAACATTACACATGTAAAGATATCCCTTTATACATTGTATGTCATTTAATAGTTTTATACTTGCAATTAATGAGGATTAACTTGAAAATTTATATATATTAATGAACATATAACATGTACAAATGCATAATAAGCATTAATCTCTTTGCTGCTCTTTGATGTTTTAATATGCTTATCACGTAAGAATTTTTATAAATGTGCTCATCGTAATTCAGCAGAATCATAACATGTGCAAAGTTTAATATTAGGACCTATTTGACCATTATATTAGAAATTTTGTATTTCACTTCTAAATTCTCTCACGATAGCCCTCAAGTTACTAGTAGGAAGAAAATTGATAAGGATTTGGTTAGGTTTAAGTATACTGATATGCTTCTTGATCCATATCAAGAAGGGGAAGACACCTTTCCAGAACAGTTTTCTTGATGCTAACTACTGGTTCTGAATGTTGCAATGCTTCTTGATGCTGGGACTACTTATTGTTGCTGCTGCAATGTTTGAAGATGCAGGAAAACAGGTTTGTTGAGCCGGAAGGGAGAAAACAGCTAGTGAATAGGTGCTGAAGTCTGAAATTGAAAAGAAAACGGCCCAAGAAAAGGCAGGGGAAACGCCGAAGGTGGCTGGCTGAGCCCTGCGGATGAATGAAGGTGGAGGACTGTGTGGATGCAAATCCCTGCGGCTGAGTGCAAGAGGGTTATTGGTCCGTTGACTGCACCCTGGAGATGATTGGAT